TATGTTAGTTTTTGTTTTTTGGTTTTATCTTTATTACCTATAATAAAAACTTTTCTTTCATTCTTTCAAATATGACAAAGAATCAACGAAGGTCATTTGTAGATTCGTTAAAATATGTATATCATTGAAGTATTTCTTTTCACGACATAAATGTACTTAGTATGTAAGTATTAATCCGCTTTTCCCTGTGAGAGGGTTTGGACGACTTCTTTCGAATGGTTGGTTTTCCTTTGAATATCGTCCGACGATATTTTCTCATATTTCCTTTTACCCGATTCACTTGTTGTTTGATTTTTATATAACAGTTGCTATTATATGAATGTTCTTTTATAATACACGGTTATAATCTTTTTGATAAGTGATACTTTAAGAATTTATTTTTATGAAATTAAAGTTTATCCATAGAAATTCTACCAATATAGGATTATTATTTTGACTATGTTATAACAATCTAGCTTTCGCCTGTGACTCCATCTGCGCGAAATTAAAATAAATAATTAGTAGCGTATATGTTCTTCCATACTACGTTCTAATTCTATTCCAAATTATAGCGAGATCCATGCATTCTGGAGATACCTTTTAACAAACATCTATCCAAACATACGCATTTATAATATTAGTTAGATGTAAATTACACTTTTATGAACACTCCTCACATAATTTTAAGATCGAAAGCAGTTTAGATGATATTATACATAATTAACGGTAAAACAAATTCTGTTATAACCGCGTTGTTGTAACCGGCTATCAAAAGGTTAAAACGTTTATTATTTGTAGTACCACTATTATCAACTGTTTCAGCTCGGCGGCTTTACTGGCCAGTATTAATTAATTATCTTTTTTTCTAGGGCCCCTCTGCATGAAACTGATTTTGTGGAGGAAGTTGGTGATACTTACAACGAATTACTTGATCCTGACTTCTGCGAGACAGACTACGATTGCCCCTTTTCTCTTCTACATTTCGTTTTGGCTTTGAACAAACAAAAATATTGAAAAAAAATACAATGTGATGAAAAAAAAAATTGTTAATCATTATCAGCCTTTGTTAGCTTACAGCTGGATATTGTTAATTGATGATGATATATTTGGAATGAATTTAATTATATACATATTTATAGAGTAGTACAAAATATACATGGCACTATACAATTATTGTATTTCTTAAAATATTATAATATTTTTTCAGTTTTTAGTCAGCTGAAGAATGCTTAAAGATGAACTTTAGTTTAGCCAGCTAATCTTAGTCATAATAAATAAACATCCTCTATAAAGATTTTAAAACACCCTGTTCATTTGTTTTTATATAATAAAATATACAATTTAAATGCCTTCCTATTTTCCACTTTCACAAACCAATGAGAGCGATCTAATGAATTTTGCACCGATTCACTTTAAAAGCTCATTTTCTCGAAGTCTTGCAATGTGTACAGCATCGTTGGAATTGTTATCGCCTAAGGCAGACCACTCGCTGACCCCTACTATCGATGTTTTTATCAGATTTATCGTAGGTTTCTGAGATCCTCGTTTAAAATATATTTTTGTGTCTGTTTTATATATAAATTTTGGTATCAGAATCCAACGATAAATAAATTTTGCGCATATTTCTGTGTGCGGGTTTGTGTTAAATTGTCACCTCCTATAGCTTTAATGATTAGTGCTTTTTGTTTTTATTTAAACAAATGAATGACACGAATGGCAATTATCACAAATAAAAAATTTATAATCTACTAGCTGTCGCCCGCGACTCCGTCCGCGCGGGATAAAAAAAAATAGATGTTGGCCGATTCTCTGACCTACTCAATATGCTCACAAAATTTCATGAGAATCGGTCAAGCCGTTTCGGAGGAGTATGGGAACGAAAATTGTGACACGAGAATTTTATATATAAGACTAGCTGTCGCCCGCTACTCCGTTCGTGCGGGTTTAAAAAAAATAGATAGTAGCCGATTCTCAGACCTACTCAATATGCTCACAAAATTTCATGAGAATCGGTCAAGCCGTTTCGGAGGAGTATGGGAATTGTGACACGAGAATTTTATATATAAGATTAGTCTCAATAAGTATTACCAAGCACATTATAGGGTGTTTATTTTAAATGTTAAATGAATGAATATTAAAACTAATCTACTTAACTATTTAGAATCCCTTAGTAAACAATTACGTACTCTGAGTATACTAGAAACCGTCTTAACAATTCGAGAAACCATCGTAAAAGCCGATATTACTCTTACTAATGTTACTATAAATCTTAACAGTACTGAAATCCTAAGGATAAAGTATCATTTATTCAAATGTCGAGGGCAAAAATCTAATAAGATCCAAGAGAATATTTTTAGTAAATATTTTCCATACATACATTCATGAATCATTCAGTTGATGCGTCGTCCCAAAATACGTAATCCAAGGGACACTGCGAAGTGGAGCAATAAAATAAGTAATGTATTAACTTAATTTTTACGTGACATACGACAAAAGCTGACAAGGCGATATCATCTGATTAGACCTAATACTTTCCAAGATATTTTTTCGTTCATATATATCTTACTAATATTATAAATGCGAATGTTTAGGTCAGTCTTTCCCAAAGTGGGCGATAACGCCCCCTTGTGGGCGCTGCAGGTCTCAAGTTGCGAGTTATAGTAAATGTTTCGTTTAGAATTCTCCGTTAATATACATATATAGGTCACAATAATTAATTAATTTAATTTGAAGTTATAGTGGTTTTTAAATATGTGAAAATATGAGGTGCTAAAAAAATATTTATTCTCAAAGTGGGCAGTAGACAAAATAAGTTTGGGAACCACTGGTTTAGATGGATGTATGTTTGAAGGTATCTCGACACAGGCTGTATGGATTTCGCTGAAATTTGCCATAGATGTAGAACATAACCGGGAAGATTTTCTCCGACATCAAAAAAGAAGCAGTAATTTCATATGCGTTTGTTTTTTTTTTGTCATTGAATAACGGAGTTACATAATACCGGACTCTTAGCTGTTTAAGAGGTACGATTAGTGTTAGTTTATCATTAGCAATGTAGGTAATATTTGTGACCGTGAAGAAATCGCACGGGCAATTTTTAACGACGCGTTAACACAGCGTTGGTGGCTGTCGGTCGCTGAACGCTTGAAAATAGCCTAGTGCTTAAAATACTGCACGATGAAAAAAGCATCGCGTTTTAAGCGGTACGCCTAAACAAATATGTGGAACGCTTTTTTAACGCGCGTTAAAAAACCGTCCGTGCGAATGAGGGCAAAGCAGTTAGTGCACTTCTCCAACGATCGAATCTTTACAATAAAAACAAAAGAAGATCGATTTGTACATAAGATGTTTACTTCAAAAGCAAAACTTTACACGTTTATAATATTAGTATTTAGCTAGTTTATTTCTTAATAAAGTATTAAAAGCAATATCATGCTGCTAAACGTTAAATACGTTTCGATCGTAAGAGCTTAGATTCATTAAATTCTTTGAAATTTCCTTCAAGCTCGGCAACTCGAAAAGCGTAATTCACTTTAGATATCAGTTTTAAAGTCAATTGGCTCCTTTTAAAGCCGTTAAAGTAATTGCAGATATTTTACAGTCGAAAGGTATTCAGTTAATCTGTGAGCTATTATATAGAAGTACTTTTTACTTCAATGACTTATTGATGAGATTTCCGGATTGCTTTTTTTATGTAGGAAAACGAAAAAAAAAACACCGAAGAGAAGTCTAATCTTACTAATATTATGAATGCGAATGTTTAGATGGATGGATGGATGTTTGAAGGTATCTTCAAAACGGCTCTACTGATCTCGATGAAATTTGGCATAGATGTAGAACAAAGTCTGACAGAATACAAAACCTACTTATTACGTTTTTTTAATTGAGCGTGCGGAGTCACAGACGACAGATAGTATGAAATATTTCCATTATCAAATAGTCTTAGCTGAGCGTCGGTGGCTCAGTGGTCAAGTACTTGACTTGCAATCTGCAGGTCCTGGGTTCGAATCCCGCCATGTACCAATGTGTTTTTCGATTTCCGATTTACATATGTATATTTATCCGACGTTCTTACGGTGAAGGAAAACATCGTGATGCAACCTGCATATGTCTGTGAAGAAATTCAATGATATGTGTGAAGTCAACCAACCCGCACTTGGCCAGCGTGGTTGACTATGGCCTAATCACCCTTAACTTAGGGTAGGCTCCGAGCCCCTCGGTGGGGACGTATAGTGAGCTGATGATGAAAATAGTCTTCGCCGCATTATAATAAAAATTTATTATTTGTCATATTTCAAAACAATGTCCAATATCCATTTTATCGAGGTTCTCATTCTAAATGCATGAATTTCAAAGTTTATAACCTGCCCTAAAAAGGTATCTATTAAAATTGCCTTAATGAAATTTATTATGAAAATAAAATAGGATCTACTTAGACTATGGCCTCGATTTTCGACCTTAATAAAGTGAAATTTGTTTCAAATGTAATGTTACTTAAATTTACATCTTTAGCGCGTGTTAGTAAATTCAAGAGTGAGTGAGAGTTAGGGCTGTCGATATAAGAAATGTAGACCTGAACACTGGCGGGAAAAGCGACTGCTTAAGACATCAGATTATGGTTCAAATTGAATCGATTGTTATTTACAAGTCATAAAACCATATTGTAGTACAAGCTTAGACTTTGTTTTTTTTTCATTTTTTTTATTACTGGTAATAAAAAACCTCGTAATCTGAATGTGGAGATATAAACCAGAATAATCCGGCTAAAGTTTGACTAAAAGAAGAGTTGACAACCCTAGTGATAACCGTTAGATGTGACATGGTTCCATTCTGCATTCTATGTTCCGACATCATTTTTCAATTGTATTGCGATCTGTCGTGTTGATAAAAGAGAAGGGCTACTTTAGTTCTATACTACTGTAGTCAAAATTTGACTTTTTTTGTTTTCAAAATTTTAATTTTATTTTTTACCGTCTTAAATACTATCGTCAAGGAAATATTGTGACTAGAAGTGACTAATAATGTTGTATTTGAAACGATCAGTTGTACTTTTGTTGGTATGTTGTTTTGTAAAAACATGTTTTTCGTATGATGGAGAAAATGGCTACAAGAAACTGTCACGTCGGAAACGATACGTCTCTTTTCCTGAAGGCTCGAGTTTTTCGGTGAGTTTCCTTCTAAAGTTTTTCTGTTATTCGACCCAAATATGATTATCTATAAACTTTTGCTATTATCAAAGCAAACCGCTGACTTTTGTTATGCATTCCCTTATTCATTTTATGTAATACATAGAAATTCAATATATAATATTAAAGCAAATATACTAATAATTTCTGTGTTTCGTGGGTTACATTTAACTGTTATTTTATTATTAGTTACGCTTAAGCACAGATTGCAAACCAGATAACGAATTCTATAATACATAACCTAGTCAAAGAAGGTTATAATACTTTGCGTATATATATTTATGTCTGTTATTACAAATTTCTGTAGCTTCTATTTATTTATCATTTATATTGATTGTTGTATTTGATTCTTCTTATTAGATTAATAGCGATGTCAGGATTATTATTACTTTATTATTTTAATGTGGTATTGGAAAGTAAGACGATTATATTATTTGTGTGAAATGGAACGGAACGGAAGTGTAAGCGAGAGGGTGTATGAGCGAGACAAAAGAAGAGAGTAGAAGACAAAAGTAAACGTAAACGGCAACGGAGGTAGAGAGAAAACTTTGCGACGTAATAAAAATTTATATTTAAATTCTAAAAGTGTTTCACTTGATTATCGATACAACCCACTAACATTATTATATGGGTACTATTATTTTTTCAGTGTGCTGCTTGCATGACAGTGGGTTTGATAGGACAACCAGCGCCATCTACATCTCCAGGAACCTTTACGTTTGGTCTTAACTGGGGTATAGCTTACGAACTACCCAATACAACTGAGACGGCGCAATTCTTTCGTAAGAAATACAGAAAACCAGTCGCACAACGCAGAAGTAGACGACAATTGTATGAGAAGATTGAATTGATACTTGACAAGTAAGTTTTGACAGGACAATATGAACTCCATGATTTTATACTAATATTATAAAGTGGAAAAGTTTGTTTAAGAGCGCTGATCTCAGGAACTACTGGTCCGATTTGAAAATTATTTCTTGTTGGATAATCTATTTAGAGAGGAAGGCTTTAGGCTATTTAACATTACTACTACACGTGTCAGTCAGACTTAACAGGTACTCAGTGATCGAGTTACGTTTTATAAGAAAAAACGATTACATTTTTATGTTTTCCTGGTACCCGTTGGACATTATAAAACACAGTAGCGATGAATAATTTATAAAAAAACAATTTCCTGATGAGGTTTTTGATGAAACTGTTTATTTCGTTTATCGCTTTACTTTCATCCACTCGTTGAAGGTTATTAAACTTTTTTGGCGCTAAATTGTCTCCATTTACCTTAAGGATTTACTTTGTTTATACAAAAAAAACCGTTCTATAAAATATGATGCCTTTGGGCATTTCTTCAATCTTCTCGTCGAAAATTCTCCTTTTGTTTAATGGTCTTAGTTTTGTTTTCGTTATGAAAAATCCGTTTATTTATATTTCATTTTGTGGTTAAGGCTTGGGGCTATCGACGTAAACAATGCGGGTGATGTGATTTTTACATTACATTCTTGTTGATATTAATGAGTGAGTCTATCCAATATTAGATACTTTTTATTTATATTTATCATCCTATATAATTATAGATTTTAGAAGCTTTAGACTAGTTATAGAATATAATTTTTTTCGTTTGAAATATAGGTAACAGAGAATACTGGAATCTACTTATTTCATTTTAATTTTTCATGAAACAAATTAAATTTTAATATTTTAATATTTATATTAGAGTCAATATTTTCTATTTTACGATCTTAATTTGTATAAAACTTTTTACAGTATGGGGTACAACGGCCGACAATGTATTTTGAAGACTCTCTGTGAGACAACACAACGTATCGTGCCTCATAACGAAAATATGGTACAAGAAATATTCCGAACACTATTCACGTAAGTAATCACCTTTAAATTAAATAGAAAGAAGATATCCGTTACATTAAAACCAGCCAGCATCATTAAAAATACATTAAAATCATTACTTATCGAGAATGCTATATATTCATATGAAAAAAAAATAAGTCATTTTTTTATTAATTCTATCTTATGACCTGTAATTTAAACAGTACCAATAAATTGTATTGTATAATATTACTAGCTGTAGCCCGAGAGTCTGTCCACGCGGGATTAAAAATAGATGTTGGCCGATTCTCAGACCTACTCAACATGCTCAAAAAATTTCTTGAGAATCGGTCAAGCCGTTTCGTAGGAGTACGGGAACGAAAATTGTGACACGAGAATTTTATATATAAGATATCGAAGACAAGGGTTGAAGGTTTAATTAACTAATGCCTTGAAATGTTATATATAAAGTTCATAAAACTATGCAAATAATTGTGTTGACAAGTATCCTATATCAAAGCCACTCATAGTATCCCTGGAGAATCTGTATGCTTTCATACAAATTACGTATGCTGTGGGTATACCCTTGTGATATCAAATAACTGTATTTTATAGTGCCTTAGTTGACAGGATTGGTGTTAGATTTTGTTGATATTGCAAATAGGAATTCGTAAGAAAATATTGGCCGTTTATTAGCCGACTACTTTTAATTGTGTTTTTGTTTAACAACGACACCTACAAACATAACTATAAAAAAATGAACATAAGAATTGATAAACGTTATTTTTGAAGTCGGCTAAAAAGTACTAGGACCTCATAAAATTTAGAAGTATAATGGTATGCCTGCTCAGTTTATATCACGGCCTTCTTATTTTCTTAATAGAAATATTTTAAAAATATAATATGCAGTTATGTCATTAGATCATTAGGAATTTTATCTTTATATACATAATGGTTATAATCTATTCAAAAATTTCAGAATGCCTTTGACAAAAGTCCTCAAAACGGAGCCGCTACAACATACAATATATGACTCGGCGCATCGTCTTGGTGTTTTGTTGGAAAGCTGTGATATCTACAAATGTCCGTTGTCGCTAGTGGACTGGGCACAAGGCTACTACAACGCCCCCGCGCCGCAAATCGACACTGCGAGAAATCCGTGGGCCTTATTCAGTAGTAATTTTGGTTGATTTATTTTGCGACTCAAATTGGATTTATAAGAAAATTGTTTTTAGTAAATAGTTCTATTGTAATTGTGTTCATTAAATATATTTACATTTTTTAATTATGTATTTTTTATTAAAATTAACATAATTTTAATGTAAAAAATTTAATGGATTGTTTACATTTTAATCATTAAAAATAATCATAGATAATTGGAAATTCAATGATGACTTAGTATTGTTTCATTTATTTTTTTAATGGATATATGGTAATTGAAATGAAACAAACATTTTATTATTAACGCATAACATTTAATATTTATAGTTTATGTTATAATACATTTCAATATTAGCAATAAGAATTGTGTATTCATAATAATACGTGTTAGTGCTTCGATTTTTAAATTAATTATAACATTACAAAATGGAACTTATATTAAAAACTTATTCTATCTTTATATATATTACGTGTACTTAATTTAATTTTAATTCTATAACCATATATATAAGGTCTTAAATTATTTATTTTATATGTTCATAGAATTCCGTAAACCATTGAGCTATTGTGACTTATTATTAAATTATTAGATACATATTAGCTTCGTGCATTGAACTTAATAATATTCAGTGGCATATTATTAACCAACATACAAATGATTTTGGAATGAACAAATATTTATTCTATATCTATTACTAAGTTTTTTTTTAACTATTGAATTATTTATTATAGATTATTATTGTGTTTATAATAACCTTATACGTATATTAAAATAATTTTAGGATTTTCACTTCCGTATTACTAATATTATTACTTATTACTTTGTATAATTAATGTGGTGTTCGTTCGCGTTTTGTCATTTTCACTGATCGTTTTATTTTTAAAGAATCGAAGACAATAAAGTTGGCTGAATTAAAAAAAAAATAGGGAACAATCTGTTCATAAAAATAACGTTGAAGTTAAAAAATATAATAATAGTACATAATAATAATCATTTTATATAAAATCGCTTACTCGTTTGGTGATTTTGTAACAGAATTACATTAATAATACAATTATTAAAAACACCATAATAGTTGAAAGTTTGAACATCCTGTGTAATAATTGTAATATGTTGAAATTGAATAACATGAAAACAGCATAGTTTGAACTGTCAATATTGCGACTGTCAGCTGTAACTTCATACGGAATAACAACACATACAGCTTTCGATAATGTCGGAATTTACAGAGTTGAATTTCGAACAACACAATTCCACGTTTGAACATTTGATGACATTCATTGTGTATACCAAATACGTTGAAATTTGAATCATTGATTGATCGCTTCTGATCATTGTTTAGGATTTTAGGATAAATTTTATGTAAACATTATTAAAGAATATTTTTGAAACTATAATAATTGTTAAGCCTATTTATTGTCTTCAATTATTTAATAAACAAACGTCGTTACTCGTGACTAAAAAGTTAAATAAAGAATCATAACTAACCAAAATTCTATATCTAGTAGAGGACATTACATGCTAATAATTATACAACAAGAAATTTTGAAACATACATTCATACTTAACCTACACAGTATGTGCCATTAGGCAACAGTAAAATAATAAAAATTACAATTAACTACACGATATTTTGTCAATTTGCCAGTACGATTGCTTAACCAGACACAAATAAAGGACACTCGCCATTTAAATACTCCAATTTGATAGAAAATCTAGTATAAATTACTATTCTCATCAAATAGGAGCATACTTAAAAACTTAGATGTAACACTAATAAAATAAGGCACGCAGAAAGTCTAGAAAAAAATCATTCATAATACTGAAACATACTAGGGAATGAATTTAGGATATCACATAAAAAAAATCATTAAAAAAGTAAATGAAACATATCAATTATAAATATACTAAATTACATCAGTCTGGTTGATTCCACTTGTATGAACTAAAATAAGGTTTATTTGTATTTTTAAAATTGTCATTAAAATGATTAAAATCATTAAAATTTAATTAAAAGATTGAAACAGAAATAAGTAGGGTTAAATGGTATTAATTAATTTTGTATTTACATCTAATCGTGTTGGAAGCTCAACGCAAATTTCGTGTGTATCTACTTATGATTACAAATATTATCCCTAATTTATCAATAGACTGAGTAGTTTTTTATAAAGATAAATTAAATAATGCAATGATTAAAATAATAAAAAATGGAATATTTATTTTAATAATGATGAGAGAAATTAACAATCATGAAAAGGAAAAAACATTGAAATTAAAGTATATTGAAAAGAATCTTACGTCACTTTTGGAAGACGTTTGATTAAATATTCAAATACGCCTAACTTACATAAGTATCCGTAACTTTAAAGATTTATTTAATTATTATCATGAAATATTATAATAGAAATGTAAGAAACAAGAAGATGACAAACAATCGACACCGTGCAACAAACAAGATTGAAAAAGTGCTATTGAAGAATACTATACGAAATTCTATATTTCGATGAACCTAATTATAAAGCGTTACGGATTATCTGTCGATTCCATTACAAAATAAATCTTATAATTACGATAATTATTTAAAAAAAAAAACAAAAGATATATTTGAAACAGTTGAAAATAATTAAAATAATTTATTGCTTTTTAATTTTTTTTTTAATGGACAAAGAAAAACTTAATGTTTACTAAGAATACACTACAATTCTACTTTAGCACTAAATGTATTGTGAAAGGAACGTAGAAAAATAACTTGTCAATTTAATATTATTTAAAATTCTATGTTGATCGGCTATATTTACACGTCAACATTTCGGTTAAGTTGATTTCTTAAAATTACTGACAGCCATGTGATAGCTGACTATGAGTTTGCAGTTCCAGCACACGATCTAGATAAACAAGCTAAGAACATCAGGATCGAAACAATTGAACTAAGATTTAAAGAAGAATCAGTTAATGCTAATACAGAAATAAATGACAGAGATTTGATAGAAAAACTTAAAGACAAAATTTTAATCATCGGGATTACAAGAATAAATAAATAAAATTTAAAAACAAAAAGAAATATAGAGAAAGAAGAAAGTGGCAACGTAAAACTAGATAAAATTAATAGGAAAAACCAAAGGCAAAGATGCTGTAACAAATTTATCAAACATCGTGCTTTCGAACTGACTCATTCGTCGACTAACTCTAAAAACACTGAGAAGCTAATTTTAACTTATTATTATTCTTAATTTGTACCTAACTATCTTAAATAACTTATTCTTAATGAAACTAGCTTCTTGAATTATTGTTAAATTTATTTATCTATCTACAACATACACGACAACACTACTACTTTCCCTTACCCGTTTATCACCCGAAACAAACATACAGACATGGTGTCCGACATATTACTATTGAACAACGTAATATAGAGTAGATAACATAGCTAGAATCCCAATGAAATAATAAACGTATCGTCTTTAAGACAACAATTTATAACAACCAAGATTTCAAATCACAGAAATTATGCTAAGATTTTGAGCAATGTAAATGGAATTAAATGAGAGAGAATCGATCAAAAAGTATAAAAAGAAGAGAAGTAATTAAGAAAATATGGAAAATAAATTATGCATCCATACATTATGTCAATAATCGTTGTATTGGCTTAGCTCATCCAGTTGTAACAAATCTTACATATTCTAATTATATTCAGACATGTTTAAAAAACGGACCTTCAATCGAATACTTTCACTTAGATGATAAACTTCAAACTATTGTAGAAAACTGACTTGATTTTCCCACTAAATGGTATTATTTGAAATCCACGGCAAACATTTTTGTAACCTTTCATAACCAAACTTATCCAACATTCCTCCAAACGAGTTAACCTAACGTGGCATTAGAAAATCTAATTTATTTTTATTTGCATACAAAAATAACAATAGAACGATTACATCTAGCAAATATCTACAATAAAAATTATGAATAACCACGGAATAGTGAGGGAAGCTTGTGTACTTATAATTTACTTTATTTCATAAATATTATATTTCTATATTGGTGTATTTCGGTGCGTGCAAAAGCACATTCCTACTTTCATCATTTAAAACTTTATTTCTTATAAGAAACTTGAACAATTCCATCCAATAAATCCTTCGAAGGCTATAACATAGAGGCATGGGGCCTTTAAACGGCGGGACCGTGAACGTATTTGTTAGAGACGCATCGACGATGAACTTGTGATTATTGACCAGACTAGGTTGAGCTATCGTTTAATCGTGCGCCTCATTTATCACTGTTCATGTGGCATATATCTCTCCAAGTTGGTGTTCATTCGCTGATCGTGTTGCACTTCCAGCTAGTATTGAATTCTGTTAACATTTACGATACTACAAACAATTTACATCTTTCAACCTTTAGCGAGCGTTACCACTTAAGTGATTGTTTTTTTTTTAATTTTTAATCAATGGTTTTATGTTTTGATTCCTAATCTATACTAGCCAGTATTCAACCCCGTTGATATACATATATACACATCCAGTAACACTTATAAATACCAAGTGAATTCAGACAAAACAGTTTGATTCATATTTTTTATTATAACCATCCCTGTTTTCCTATCTGCTCGCTGTGGATTTCATTTCAATATGACTGACCTTTCAATTTACCTAGGTTATCATCTAATAGACATTATCGTGAATTACTTTGACATATTATTAACGCGGCTCGAAATATTCCATTATTACCACAAAACGCTACAATTCCCCTATAAATTAGGTTTAAATCGATGTTAGATAAGATGCTTTATGTAAAATTGTTTTGAAATAATTACAAGATGCGTGCACTACGCGATGAATCTTCCACTACACACGATGACGGGCGAAATCATTTATATTACAATGATTCTAATCTAAATTTAAAATAAATATATCCAATTCGTTAATAGCTAAATTCATCAACCTTTAACAATTTATTATCTACTTCATGTTGTTGTAAAGTGCCGAAGTGATTTAAGACATTTCTATTGGTGAAGTACGTGAAAGTATA